GTTTTAAAACCTATATTTAAAAAAAACAATAATAAGTTATATTTTAAAAAAAGCCAATCTACTGTTACTAAAATACATTTTTAACATTAAGCCAGGCCTCGACAAATATTTTCAGAGGTAGGAGCCAGCCCAAAAACTCATGAGCCAGGTGTGCCTAACCTAACTTCACTAGTGTTTGTACCGGGAGCTACACTAGAGCCTCGATTATTCACGGCTTTTTCTATTCCCCAAATTTTTTCAAAATAATTATGACATTACAATTCTAGACAATAATTTACATGTTTTGGAGAAATTATCGCTCAGAAAGTAATTTTGGTGTAAAAGTTCAGGTGTTACATGATATCCAGAGTTTTCTCGCGTGCATGATCTGGTGTGTCTTCAAATCGTAAGTTGGCCAGTTCAAGCCTTGCCTCTTTTATTTTTAGCTGTTAAGACAGATTCACAAAATATTTGTAGCTTGGGTAACTTTATTTGATTAGTGATTATAAACATAGTGTACAAAAAACACATTAAGATTTCACTCAACTTCAATTGTTGTCCACTGTTCTATGATACCTCCCTTAACCCTTCAGCTGCAGTTGACATCATATGATGTTATCGTTAGCAATTGCGATTGACATCATATGATGCATGCATTTAGCGTGCAACCTTTTGAATGGCCCACTGCAAAACTTCGCGAATCTTTGAGCATGAGGTGGTAGGCAGGTTTACACAAACCGCAAACGATGCATGTTCAGGTTGTGTTGGGGTGTCGCCCAATTACACATCGTCCTCTTCCCTACAGTCTGTTTTAACAAAGACTTTTTCATAATAATTCCCAAGCATTTTTGACTTATTTTTCACAGGCATTGATAGGGTGCTAATGCACTTCCGTGTCTATACCAGAAAAAGTGCCGAAATTTAAGAACTATTTATGTCTATGTTAGTGAATAGATTCAACTGAAACGAGAACGGGCAATGAGAAGATGAAGTATTACAGGAGAAAAAGTGGAACTGGACTCATGTAATTCACGAAACTCGGAGAAATCGAGAGTGACCGACTGACCAACACTTGGCTTTTATTATTATGATTGTGACAACTTTTATGATTTATGGTCCCGTATGAGTCTAAACACGCGCACTGATTTGTTGAATTGAGAGAGAGAGAGAGAAAGAAAAAAAATGGTGCAAAATTAGTAATGTGTTGTGTAACCGCAACGTTTCATTCCTGAAAAATATGAAGAAGTGTTGAATCCGCCATTAAAATCATTGAAACAAAGCTCGATTTAGGCCTCAAAGAAAGCAAAAATAGTTCCGGACGTCCAAGAGTCCAGAACTGTTCTAGGTTTGAGTTATATTTCGTACAGCCATACGCACAAATAAAATGGGAGAAAACACTAGGTGTCACGTTGAAATTTGTCGAGACTTGCAGTAATCAATCATCATTATATTATCAACATATGTATGTATGTCTGTTTGAATATATGGAATTATAATCAGCGGAAGACTTTCGAAACGTCGTCCTCTACACTTGTGTTTCTAAAATAGGCAGTTGCCATCCATTCAACAAGTTTCATCATAAATACTCTGCCTAAACAATCTATCAAAGATTAGGTAAATTTAAATTTTGAGAATAGTCATCACCTCTGTGTTTCAATAAAAATGTGATGCTAAGTTTTTAATTGTTCAAGGCATATTTTTTATTAATACCAAATCTTTATTTCTTTGCATCCTCATATGCTTAATTCTTTAAAAATATTTAATTTTGTGTTATCTGTAATCAATGGCTTAATATATGTGTGTTATCTGTAATCAATGGCTTAATATACGTGTGTTATCTGTAATCAATGGCTTAATATACGTGTGTTATCTGTAATCAATGACTTAATATACATGTGCTAATCAATCTTTGCCATTTTTTAAAATATCAAGTTCTTTTTCAACCTCCTTTTAAGAGTAAAAAAAGTCATTTGTTTTTCTTTTCTTTGCTATATTCCCTAAAGCTGGAACTTTATTTGACATACATTTAAAGCTAAAAACAGATACAGTGATCACAACCAGTAAACAACAATGTAAGTTTAAAGCTACGAACAGATACAGTGATCACAACCAGTAAACAACAATGTAAGTTTAAAGCTACAAACAGATACAATGATCACAACCAGTAAACAACAATGTAAGTTTAAAGCTACGAACAGATACAATGATTACAACCAGTAAACAACAATGTAAGTTTAAACTACGAACAGATACAATGATCACAACCAGTAAACAACAATGTAAGTTTAAAGCTATGTACAGATACAATGATCGCAACCAGTAAACAACAATGTAGGTTTAAAGCTACAAACAGATACAATGATCGCAACCAGTAAACAACAATGTAGGTTTAAAGCTACAAACAGATACAATGATTACAACCTGTAAACAACAATGTAGGTTTAAAGCTACAAACAAATACAATGATCACAACCAGTAAATAACAATGTAGATTTGAAGATACAGTAATATACACATGCAGTGGTGACAACCAGTAATCAACAACTTAAATTTAAACTCCAAACAACCAGTTTATAACTTTTTGTAGATCTATAGAAAATTACATAAAACAGTGTGCCAACCTTAAGAAATTAAACTTTTATCAATATTAATTTTACAACAGTTCAAGAGAGAAAACTAATGAAAATCTTGAGTTTATAAGCCTATACCTATAAAAGAAAGATTATTTCTGATTGCTTTCCTGATAAAGTTAATGCTGAGACTTGTGGTAGCATTTATAACCAGACAGTTAAACTGTTAGATCATCAACACAAGAGATGAGGTATTATTTTAAAACAATGAGAACTCTCACTCTTTGACCACAGTTTTTATACAAATTTTTCATTTTGCTCTAATAATGTTTGCTATTTATTTAATTTTTATAAGAAATTTCATCATTATCTTAAATTTTCTTGTTATAGCGTTTGTAAAGAGTGAAAGTTAAAGAAACTGATTCTATTTTGTTATATATACAATGAAGAATAGTGAGAGCTGATCCACTAGTAATCCAGTAAACTATGTATGATTATAAGAATAAAAAAACTTTGTCTTACCTTCACATTTCATACCAACTTTTCCAGTCCCCCAGATATAATCTTCACCTGAAAAGTTTTCAAAATTTCTTTTATAATTTTGCAAGTTAATACTCCTAAGAATGAGTTCACACTGATACCCTCCCCCCACACACACACATATATACAGGAAGAGCTCCCAGTAGAAACAAATGTTAAGCAAATCAATGTTTCCTGTTGTTCATGAGACAGGAAGTGTGATCGTATCTTCCATAAAGTAGCTGGATTTAAATGTTTATGTACAGCCAATAATTAGAGGGAAATCACTTATACACAGATATCCTGTTCTGGAAGGGTCTGTAACCGTATTATGTGGTGAAATCACTTAGACACAGATATCATGTTCTGGAAGGGTCTGTAGCCATACTATGTGGTGAAATCACATAGACACAGATATCCTGTTCTGGAAGGGTCTGTAATCATATTATGTGGTAAAATCACTTAGACACAGATATCATGTTCTGGAAGGGTCTGTAATCATATTATGTGGTAAAATCACGTAGACACAGATATCACGTGCTGGAAGGGTCTGTAATCATATTATGTGGTAAAATCACGTAGACACAGATATCCTGTTCTGGAAGGATCTGTAATCATATTATGTGGTGAAATCTGTAATGTTGCATTCTTAAAAACTACATGTGAGATTTAAGAATTGACAGACTTATTGCCAGGAGAGAAAAGCACATTATTGAACATAATACAGTTACAGACCCTTCCAGAACAGGATATCTAAGTAGCTCACTGTGTTGACCAGTAAACTTCAAATATAAAATTAACTCTAAAAATTTCCTAAGGTTATCATTAAATGTAAGCAAATATATAACCAGGTCAATCTTATTAATACATTTGTCTCATAAAACACCACCTAAGACATGCATGTTAACCTATAATACCAGGCTAATTTCACGTCATTTTATTTGGCACAATTTATCAAACCTATTCATGAACGTTTCTTCAGGCAAGAGACATATTTTAAATTCAGACACACAGTAGCTTCAGTTCCTGACGTAGCTATTTGGTAAATAGTATATTAATTTTTAAGTCTTCCTTGGTCCCAGTTTTCTAAAAAATAATTAACCTCCAATAGAGGAAGGCAATATTAGTCCAAAATTTAAAAACATTTTGCCTCTGTTCCATTGAAAAAAAACATCATAGCCATAATTTCTTTAAGATTCAAATGGGTTTTACAGTGTGGCCCCAGGTATTGTATATGATCTTTTTAAAAAAATAGGCCTATAGAACTACTTTTGAAAGTGAAATTGGTCGGGAAAGTTTAGACTACTGAGGGCAATCATTAAAGTATGTATGTGTCTATGGCCCTGAAAGGAAAATTTTAAAAATTAATTCATCCCAAGTATTAAAAAAGACTAAATAAAAATAACCACAGAAGTAAAGTTGGGCTTCACAAAATTCTACTTAGTTATACTGCAAATAAATGTTTTGCTATGTAATTGTAAGTATTTACTTCAATACAAATACAGAACTTCTGATGATCACAAGTAAATGTAATAAAGAACTTAAAAACTAATGAAAAAAAACAACACTTACAATGCTTACAAAGGACAGGAGTCAAAAAAGAAATTTCCATCAGTTGATGTTGAGAGGTCCAATACCTTAAAGTAACTGGAGGTAAGCCTACAAACAAAGAAACATTTGGAAATAATTTATAAGAAATAGTCAATTTTTCTTCTTTTTTTGTTTTTTTTATAAGTACATGTGAACAGTAGGTTTCTCTTCACTTTGTTACTGAAGAATTAAACAGTATAAAAATTTAAAAACCTTAAAATATTCAGTCTCAAAACAGCTTGCATGTAATCTTTGAGCTGAAGACGAAAGGCGGAAGACTTTCGAAACGTCATCCTCTACATTTGTAGGTTTCTACAACAGGCAGTTGCTGTCCATTTGAAACTTAGATTCATTCAGCTTACATAGAGTCAACATTTTGTGTGCCTTAAATTGTACTACGTATCCCTTACTTTTTCATGCTTCAAGACATTATTTTTAAAAAACCAGAAGAGCACATTATTCCAAACAAAACATGATAAAAATGACTATGTTCTTGCAGTAATTAAAATATTAGATTTCATATAAAAAGAAAATTGTTTCTGAAAATGTAAATGGAAGAGGTTATACATATTTAGCTACAATTATATCAAAGTTTACAGTCACTGATTTGTGATGGATAAACTACATGGCTGTAGCTAGCTTTGTCATAACTCTATTATAAGTGGTATCACAGTAAAGTGTCCACACTCTTCCAATTATTATACTCAACTTTAAACAGTTTTTTACTCTAAGTTAAGCATGCCTTTATCAACAGCCAGGAAACATTGTCATTATATTTGTCTGCAATGTTGTGGTTCTTTCTACAATCAACAGGATATTAGACTCTTATCAATGGGGCAACTGAATGTTACAGATAAGAGAAAGGTTATTCAACTTATATTTCTAGATGGGCATGATAAAACGTAATGATATCATAGGCACCATTAGGACTAATATGGATTTTTATGAAGTCCTGTGTGCTGATAATATATAACTTTGTGGTATGGTAGTTTCAAAAGAGGGGCATGTTATGGGAGGTTTATAAACCCCTCCACCCACATTATTGCAGTTATTGAGCATTTATTTTCTATGATACAAGTTAATGTTAACTACATTCAAAGATGGCGCCACATCCTTACACCAAAAACAAAACAACTTTATTAAATCTATATAAATAAACATCAATATGTGTGTGTGTGTATCTGTTCTTTATACGTTTACACATTTCTTGATCAATCAGCACCAAACTTGACACAATTATATAGGATGACACGAGGAAGGTCATGGATGGGTTGAACGCCAATCTAATTTCATGTTGATGGAATTCTTCAAAACAGTATGTTTTTCTTTTCAGTATTATTACCTTTATGTATTTTTATTGAGCTTTTAATGTTTATTATGGTAAGAAAATAAATAGCAGTACAATATCCTGACCTTTCTTATAAACAAGTTTTTATTTCACCCGTCCATTGAACGAGTACTCCAGCTATTTTTCAACAAAACAACATACACACAGTATGGGGAGGGGGCACATAAACATCTTATATATCTCTATGGAGAAGTGAAAAAAGAAAAGGCCAGCTGCCAGTATTGCAATACTGCATAAACTCAGCTGAAGTTTCTACTCTAACAACCAACATAAGGCTGATATGAAGAGCCATTTCTTGACTTATACTCACTTCCTACTTTGACCCATGACCTTTCAACTTCAGCCTCTAAGACACTTCTGCAGTCAATGACTGTCACTTAACACTGTGGAAGGACATTAACAGCTGGGTGTTGAAAGTGGGTAACAGAAAGCACCCCTACTGCCAATACCTTTTCCTACAAAGTAACCCTGATCATTGAATGGTATATACTATGTTTTAAGTATATACATAACGAGTTCTTAAAACTTATACAAAATATTTGGTGAGGTAATAATGAATACTGTAATAATATGTTATGCTATAAATAAGTTAAATTCTTGTGTTATTTATCATAGCATCCACCCAAACATTCTTTGAAGTTCATAACCCAGACAAAAGAAGGTTACCTCAGTTTGTTATAGTACACACCAAAGTATCTTACAGATCATGTCAGGTTCATTATCAAGTATACTACTAGCATATCTAATGTAGTAGTTTTGCCTAAGACCAAGTACATATCTAAGCCTTCCAAGTCACACTTAGTGACCCTAATATTTAAGCTGCTTCTGTCGGTTAGTCATTCTAACCTCACACAGACCTTCCATGGGTATTTTATTGAAGCTACTAGCAACAGATGATTTAAATCATCTCTAATTGTTCTTTGCTCTAGCAAACACCAATCTAAGTCTCAGTCCCTCCCATTTCAAATAAAAGTCTTAAAACCATACATTGTCACAAAAGTTTTTATTTGCACCCTTCTGGCACATCAGTGACCTTTCCCTTTGAAAGGACCTAAACTGGGTACAATCATACACACAAACTCACCTGTACGTAAACAGATACAATAAATGTTTTTTTTTCAATAATTCCTAGTATTAAGATTGTTCTCAACAATCAAAGTCCTAGCCAAATCTTAGCTAAAAATACTGTATTTCTTCAAAATTTATACAATTCTAAGTTTGATACAAAATGTTTATCTGTTAGAAACCATTTCTATCTCTGTTTAACTGATAAAAAATATATTCATGTTTTTAATTTGTCTGATTTCTGTTTGGTTTACCATTTTGATCTGAAATTATAACACAGTGTTCTTGCTTTTGCACCACTTCTGTTAACTTCTTTCAGATATTTAAGGTAGCAAATAAACTTTCTTATTAACAAATATAAAATATAAAATTGTAAGAGGCTTAATCTTTCCATTTTGTGATTTATTCTACACCTGTGTTATTTTTCTCCGTACCCGTATCAACATGACTATTTTATAACTTACGTAACTTAATAACACAATGGTTCAGATTAAATAATAAAGATTTTCACATAAGGATAGCAACTTAACAAACACTTAATAAAGACATTTTCTGTTGTAAGTTAACCTAAAATGTTGCTTACAGTTGAAATGAAAAGCCATGAGTTTGGCTCTGTTTTGGACAGGAAAAATATTCATTGTATGAAAATGTTTCAATCTTTATTTTGTGTTGTACATGCACCTGTAAGCTATTCAATACATAATAGCACCTTATTTGCTATGTTAACTATGACCACTGAATTCAAAACTGCTGAAACAGCAATTTTCCAAGATAGTTATAAACAAGTTTATTCCCCAGTTCTGCTTCACACATATTTGTTCAATAGCCTTTCAAGGAATGGCTTCATATTTAAATAATAACCTTACATACAAATGATAAAATTACAAACACCTATAGCCTAGAGAAACTGTAATGATAAATAGAGTGTACTCACAAGATGTCTCAATGTAGTCAGGATCACAATCATTTCCAGCCATGTTACCGTGTATGGGAAATGAAAGTCAGTCTAATGTCACTTTCTTTCTCAATAGATGATATCTCCACAAGCATTAAAACTTGATCTCTACAGCTGTCCCTATGTCTTTGTAGAAATATTGTTTCTCAAAACATCTTAGCCACTACCTGGAAAATACCCAAAAATACCTGTTCTCCAATTTTCACCCAAAACAAGACCACATGATGTATTACCTATTCCATGCAGTAAACAATGAACCAGTATTTTCCCTTCAACAACATCACCTGCCTCTAAAGTTACACAGAGTGTTTCGTTGTTATTGTATTTGTTTGGTGATGGGTAGATGTAGTAAACCAACCTGCTCATACTGATTATTTCTTGAGTCCAAGTATCCCTGGCTTTGTGTTCCATACCTAATACATTTTATCCACCCACACCATTCTCATCCCAAAGTTTCCAAAACACACAGAATTAATCACCTTCTTGTCCCTCTGGGAAGAAGCCAGATTATTTCAATCAGTATTACATTGATTCAAATGGAACAGAGGTAAGCCTCATGTTTGCCATAGCATAACACAATATGACACAACACAGCTAGGAATTATAATAATATCAACGAAGAGTCTGTAGAATGAAAAATGCAGCTACTTTGAAGACAGAAAAACTGTTGAAAATTGTGCATCTTGTTGAAAGTCTTCCAAAAACAGTCTGGGAATCCTGAAAATACACAAAAAACTTACTTCATTCACCATTTTGTTATATGTTATAGCTTCATTTAGTAAAAAGTCCCTTACTAGCAATTACTAACTTCTAAAGGGTAATTACACTAACAATTGCTAGTAAGGAACTTCTAAAGGGTAATTACACTAACAGTTGCTAGTAAGGAACTTCTAAAGGGTAATTACACTAACAATTGCTAGTAAGGAACTTCTAAAGGGTTATTCCACTAGTAATTGCTAGTAAGGAACTTCTAAAGGGTAATTACACTAACAATTGCTGGTAAGGAACTTCTAAAGGGTAATTACACCAACAATTGCTAGTAAGGAACTTCTAAAGGGTTATTCCACTAGTAATTGCTAAAGGGTAATTACACTAACAATTGCTAGTAAAGAACTTCTAAAGGGTAATTACACTAGTAATTGATAGTAAGGAACTTCTAAAGAGTTATTGCACTAACAATTGCTGGTAAGGAACTTCTAAAGGGTTATTGCACTAGTAATTGATAGTAAGGAACTTCTAAAGAGTTATTGCACTCTTTACTAGCAATTGTTAGTGTAATTACCCTTTAGCAATTACTAGTGGAATTACCCTTTAGAAGTTCTTTACTAGCAATTGTTAGTGTAATTACCCTTTAGCAATTACTAGTGGAATAACCCTTTAGAAGTTCTTTACTAGCAATTGTTAGTGTAATTACCCTTTAGCAATTACTAGTGGAATAACCCTTTAGAACTTCCTTACTAGCAATTACTAGTGCAATAACACTTTAGAGGTTCCTTACTGGCAATTACTAGTGCAATAACCCTTTAGAAGTTCCTTACTGGCAATTACTAGTGCAATAACACTTTAGAAGTTCCTTACTAGCAATTACTAGTGCAATAACCCTTTAGAAGTTCCTTACTAGCATGAGTACAGAAAAAAATGGTGCCCAACTAATGATTGTCCCACATCCCTAACAAAAGGCCTGAGGGCAGACCTTGTTTGTGAGAGAGGGAATAATGTGGTAACTTCAGCTGTGGATTAACCTGACTAACACAGTTGGTAGAATATATGCTTGTAGTGTGAGTAGTCCAGAGTTCAAAACTTACTCAACAGAGACAAAACGAATTGGATTGCCACAATAACATAAAGTCTGCATATAACTGTCCAGATTGTACATGTACTCTACTATTGTTGCCTTTAACATAAAATAACCTATTACCAACAAGAGACTGTTTGGTTTTTCAAGGCTTTCCTTACATTCCCACTCTTTACTTTTCAAAATGTTCAGTTCCTCTTTTAAACTCCTGTACAGAACTGAGTTATACCAATACTGATGACAGCTCAATCCATAAATAAATAATCCTGTCAAAATATAAAATATCTTAACTGGAGACTAGCTCTTGTCTTTGCCAAATCTTAAACCTTTGTCCCATTATCTTCAGAATGCAGCATAAATAAATAACAGTCCTTAATCTTGTTGATTCTCTGGAAAACCTTGTAAACTTCAAAAGAATAGCTACAAAAATCACATCAATACGGGTTGGGAAGAGATTATATGATATGGAGTTTTGAAATGTCTTTAACTCGCACAATAATGCTATGTTTATACAGGAATTTCAAGAATATGCAGCACTGCTGCTGCTAATATATTCTTTTGTAGTATTTAGTTAGAAAAAACTGTTTAAAGTACTATAAAATCAGTGTGAAGCCAATCTGTTCTTTGATTTACCGCTCATCAATGGGTTATACAAGTTTCAGGGAATTATATCCCGCATCAATAACCTTCAACACATGGAAATCAAAACAATAAGACTTACCTTCATATAATAGTGGTGTGTATATTATATGTATGATGTTTTGAAATATTTTTTACTGGTATACATCAGTGACAAGTGGTAAATTGAATGATAGACTGGGCTTCACATATATATTTTTTAGTACATATCTCACTGATTGGATGAAAATGCATGAGCCTCTGAGCCTCTTGGGATCTCCACGTCAGCATCAGGGTATGAGGTAACAGCAGCAGTAGTTACCTATTGTGGTTAAGGGCCCCCTCTTTTATCTTACTCCAACAACTCCATGAGGTCTACTCACAGAACATGGTTAAGCCCCCCCACCCCATTTTATCTTACTCCAACAACTCCATGAGGTCTACTCATGGAAAGACTAGTTATTGACCCTTTAACTGCTTAGGTGGGGTAGAAAAAAAAACCACCCCATGCACAAAAAATATACAATTTTTTTTTTACCTTATGAAATCATAGCACAGCATACAAAAGTAAAAAATAAACACATATGACTTCTGTGTAGGCCTGGTGGTGTGAGGAGAGAGCTGGAGGTCATTTGGGTCCAGGCAACCCTCAATGACCACGAGATAGACAGGAGAGCAAGCAGGACTTGTTTTTACCAGCTGTGGCATTGCACTCCTATCTCATGCACTGGCACAGCATCAGTTATGAATAACACAACTAGAATGTACAAATATTGCACTTAGCACACTAATATAAATCACAAACTACTGTATAAATGCCTAATATTTACACTATATAAATTTTTTCCTGCTAGGTACAGACATCAGAGGTGACATCTATCAGTGGCAGTAATAAAGATAAGGTTAAAAAACAATGGAGAAAAATAATAAAAATCAATGTAAAAAAAGACACAGAAAATTACACAAACAGGTGAAAAAGAAAAAAATACTAAGTTCTATACTTTAGGAATTGTATCAAATTCCATTTTACTTCATTATCACATACACATACAAAACAAACAAATTATATGAAAGGATAAACAAAACAGTAAAGTTTATAGCAAGTGTTGAACAATAATGGGAAGCCATTCATTAGAAAACTGTATTAATAACAGCTTAATTATTACATGGTTTACATGTTTTCAATAATTTACTTAAGTTTAGCTGTTACTGATACTGTTTGACAAAATACTTTTTGACTTTTTTTACCTGTTTGTGTAATTTTATGTCTTTTATTAACTAGATTCATCACTGATCGGTCACTGGAACAACCAAATATCAGATATGATTTCAAATGGTGGCAGGAAAAATTAAAACATCATGGTGAAATGGTTTATGGAGTCCAGCTAAACTGGACCATTGTTTTTTTTGTTCTTTCTTATTTATGTCACCGATACAATAGGGGTAAAATTACTAAAGATTACTGATGACATTAAATTCTTATACATTTCTATCTGTATTGAGATGTTCACAAACTACTTGACCTTGTAAGTTGGACAAATGACCTTCACTATAGTAAGTTCAAAGCAATGCATTTTGGTTACATAATTTGGATCATATGTTTAGTATAGATGGGAACCATTATTTAATTTACGCTCTAAATTTATCTCCAAACTCCTCCTACCTTAGCTATCTTATTAATTTGTTTAGTCTTAACTTTCCAATCTCCAACACCATTAAGCAAGCTTAACTTAAATTATAATGAATATTTTTAGAACTTCACCTAACTAACCTTCTTAATTAAGTGGAGCCCATCT